TGTTGTTGCTTCTATTGACCCTTCTTGTAGCTCATCCACTACTACTTCACCTATGAGTGATGGTTTCACTTGTGACGCCTCACTTATGGTGGAAAATAAGACCCTCAAGAGAGAGGTCAATGAGCTCACTCATGCCTTAGGCAAGGCCTATGGTGGTGAGGCCCGCTTGCTAAAGTGCTTGGGTAGCCAAAGGTTTTCTTCCATCAAAGAGAGATTGGGCTATAGCCCCAAGAATGGCAAGGCGTCCTTTGTCACTCACAAGACTAGTTTTCTGAATGGCAATGGTCGGTTTTGCAATAGATGCAAGCAAGTTGGGCACATAGAGCAATATTGCAAGAACAAGAACAAGAATGCTTATGTATCCTCAATTCAATTTGATTCTTGTTATTTGCTTACCAAGGGTGCCAATGGTGTGAAGGCTAAGTTTATTGGTGCACCGATTGTGGTCTCAAAGAAGAAAGTCATTTGGGTGCCCAAGAGCCTAGTTACTAACCTTCAAGGACCCAAAAAGGTTTGGATACCTAAAAAGAATTATTCTTTTATTGTAGGTCAATTAAAAAGCTGGAGGAAGGCATTGGGTGCTTGATAGTGGGTGCACTCAACATATGATCGGAGATGCAAGAATGTACAATTCAATCAACACAAGTGGCAATGATGAGTTTGATAGTATCACATTTGGTGACAATGACAAAGGCAAGGTCAAGGGGCTTGGTAAGATTGCAATTTCAAATGACATGAGCATATCTAATGTGTTGCTAGTAGAATCTCTCGACTTCAATCTCTTGTCCATGGCACAATTGTGATTTGGGATTCAAATGCATATTTGGTGTTGATGATGTGGAGATCAAAAGTGTGGATGGCTCGGATTTGATCTTCAAAGGATTTAGATATGAGAATCTCTATTTGGTGGATTTCAATGCTAGTGAAGCTCAACTCTCAACTTGTTTGTTCACCAAGTCTAGCATGGGTTGGTTATGGCATAGAAGGTTGGCACACGTTGGAATGAAACAATTGGGTAGATTGATGAAGCATGATCTTGTGAAGGGCTTGAAAGATATGAAGTTTGAAAAGGATAGATTGTGTAGCTCTTGTCAAGCCGGGAAGCAAGTTGGCAATACTCATCCCAACAAGAGCATGATGAGCACAACCAATGCATTGGAGTTATTGCACATGGATTTGTTTGGGCCAACAACATATACAAGTATTGGTGGAAATAAGTGTGGCTTTGTGATAGTGGATGACTTTACTAGATACACATGGGTTTTCTTTCTAGTTAACAAGGGTGAGGTCTTTGATATATTCAAGTCCTTTGTCAAGAAAAGCCAAAATGAGTTTGATACAAGGATCAAGAAAGTGAGAAGTGACAATGAAAGTGAATTTAGGAATACAAGAATTGGTGAGCATTGTGATGACTTTGGAATCAAGCATCAATTTTTGGCCAAATACACTCCAGAATCAAATGCCCTTGTTGGGAGGAATAATAGAACATTGATTGATATGGCAAGGTCTATGCTTAGTGAATATAATGTGAGTGATTCATTTTGGGCAGAAGCAATCAATACGGCTTGCTATTATAGCAACCGACTCTATTGTCATCCATTATTGAAGAAGACACCACATGAGCTATTGAATGGAAGAAAGCCTAACATTGCATACTTTATAGTGTTTGGTTGCAAATGCTATATTCTCAAGAAAGACACTAGATTGAGCAAGTTTGATAAGAAATGTGATGAAGGGTTCTTACTTGCTTACTCCACTACTAGCAAAGCTTATAGAGTATGGAACAAGACACATGGCATAGTGGAAGAAGTGCATGATGTTGAGTTTGATGAAACAAATGGCTCTCAACACAAAAATGAGAATCTAGATGATGTAAGAGGCATACAATTGGCAAATGCAATGAAGAACATGGACATTGGTGATATTTGGCCTAGAGAGGTGATAGACGTGGAAGATGATAAGAATCAAGTGCTCCCTCCACCAAGCATGCAAAACAATGATCAACCAAGTACAAGTGGTTCTCATGATAAAGATTAAGTCCAACAAGTGCAAGATCAACAAGTGGCTAGTTCATCTCAAGTGAATCAATCAAGTGATCAAGCTCAAGTACTCCAACCGGTTCACATTGCAAGAGATCATCCTTTGGACCAAATAGTTGAAGAAGTGGTGTGCAAACTAGATCAAGATTGGCTTCATTTTGTGAGCACTACTCCTTTGTATCATGATTTGAGCCAACCAAGACTAAAGATGCTTTGATGGATGTTGATTGGGTAAATGCAATGCATGAAGAGTTGAATAACTTCACCCGGACTCAAGTGTGGGAATTAGTTGAAAGGCCAAAGAACTACAATGTGATTGGAACGAAGTGGGTCTTTTGAAACAAGCAAGATCAAGATGGCATAGTTGTGTGGAACAAGGCAAGATTAGTAGCACAAGGCTACACTCAAGTGGAAGGTCTTGATTTTGGTGAAACATATGCCCTGGTTGCAAGATTGGAAGCAAATAGAATCTTATTAGCTTATGCTTGTGCCCACAACATCAAGCTCCATCAAATGGATGTGAAGAGTGCATGTTGGCGGTCACTATTGACCAAATCCGACCGCCAAATAAGATACAAATACGGGATAACTAGTACATCTTGCACACATATGTCTTTCATATTGACATATTTCCACATGTATTGGAAGATCAAGGTTTTGTAGGACATATACATGCATACGGTGGAAAATATAGTCAAAATGCGCAATCTGGCAAAGCGTAATGTAGACCCAAGCCAAGAAATAGAAGAAAGGCCCACCTACCTGACACACCTGGGCCCCAAACCCACAAAGAAGCAATCCAGTCCCATCAAGCGATCCACCAAGCGAAGGCGGTGGCGAGGCGGACCAGCCAGGGTACGGGCGCACCCTAGGTGCAGCCGCACCACCACTGGCACCCCTCAGGCCCACCTTCACCGAGGCGGTACAATTAATGAAGGAGAGGGTGGTTTGGGGGGATTCCCCCGAATACCCCCCCTAAACCGGCCTATACACTAGTATAAGAGGAGGGGGAGCCCCCTCACACACACACACACACCATTTGGAGCTACACCTCACTCTACTCTTGTACTTTTCATCTTTTAGTAGTATTTGGAGCTAGGCTAAGCTTCTTTGGAGTGGCTTGAGCATCTTGGCAATACTTGGTATGAGAAATGCAATTGGATCCAAAATGTTCTTGCTCTCTATTTATCAATATAGTTCTGTTTATGAACTAGAGCAAAGTTCTTATGTTATGAACTTAGCATGTAGAACTTTATGCTTAATTGCTCATACGACATATATGATTAGTCTAACACCTAAGTTGAGGTGGCGGTTTGTCGTGCCTTCTGGCTTGCCAGTGTCCTATGCTTGTCGATCCGTAGGGTCGGAGTCCTGGGGGGATATGGGTAGTTTCCCTATACACGGGCGTGGTGCTCGGGTATACGGGGACCTTCGGATGTGACGGTGCTCCACGGTTGAGGGGTAGGCGACAGGTGGTGACAGCCCTGTCCGTCCCTTGTAATCCCTCACATTTGGGTACTCATATAGGGTAAGTGCGCCACCTTCCCCGCCTGTTCTCGATCCACTGTTCGTTCCTCTTACCGGCGTGGTTGTTGATTTGGGCCGCTTTTGTGTGATTTGTTTCGACCCAGCAGTTCCATCAGTACTAGGTGGTGGGTCGCGCGCTGCCAACCCCCGCTGATGAGCACCCCAAGATCTACGGCATGAAGCTCTGGGCTACCAACGAGGTCCGCTCCAAATCCAAGTTCTGGTTAGTGCCTTGTAGTCTAGTTGTTGATGATACCATGCTTCTTTTGTTGCTTTGGTGTCTGTTTCGTGACGATGGCTTGGGCTTGTGCGCGGGCAGGTACTTTTTGAGGAAGCTCAAGAAGGTTAAGAAGAGCAACGGTCAGGTTCTCGCCATCAACGAGGTACGACCAGTCCACCTCTTACTGCTAATGATTGTGTGTTTGGTGAATTTGTGTGGATCAGATGGGTTTAGTATTTCAAACATTAGGCAGATAGGTGTTGTTAGTGACTTAGTGTGTTGCTTTTGCTGATTTTATTTATGTCGTGAAGTTGATGCCCTGCCTCACTAGTCACTACATTCCATCATTGTTGATTGGTTAAATGCAATAGATGAATGGTTAATGCTGCCCAAATTATTTAGAAGTGAGTAGCATGGACAGGCCTGTTTCAGTTGAAATCTGAGATTGACGTGATGAACCTTGTCATCTGTTTTTTCAAATGCTGGATTGTGGGGATTTGGTTTGCTCTTGGATTACTTCAGCAAAGAGTCGGTGCTATTCTACCTGAGTGTCCAACAATGTACATTAGATGAACATCTACTGGAGGATCATTTCTTAAGAAATCGTCTGCTACCTCTATTTGCATTGAGTTGTAACTTTTGTCTCTGAGTATTTCTTGTCAAGCAGCATAAAAGCGAATATATCTTGATGTACATTTTAACAAAGTACCTTTGACTACAACTACAAGTACCCCTTTTATACTACACAATTATATTATTTTAAAATATTTTTAGTTGAAGGTTGATTTGTGAAATTCAAAATTAGCAAGTAAATGCAAACGGGGTGATGCATGTTTACAATTTTCAGCATTAGAGTGCTTATGTCCTGAAGAGCTTCCAACTAGCTCTGCATTTCAAAAGCTTGTTGGAGCTTATGTCAGTTTCCAATGTTAGACTTACCACATAGTATTCATGTTCAATCATATTATGCTCCACCTTACTTGCTATTTGTACGAACCCTTTTGATCTGACTTTGTAATGAGATGTGGTAGTTTGGCATTATAACAATCTGATCAAGTATTTGGCTGTTGACTGGTGCTTATCTATTTTGCAATTTTGTAAGTTGCTGAGTGGGTTTCCTTGTTGCATTTTGACTTGCCCTAGGTGTATGTAGCTGTACCTGAACTAATGAGGATGGGTTTGCAATCCTAAAGTTAATTGTCTTCCAAGAGCCAATGGGGGTATTGAATTATCTAGGGCTGTAGAAAATTTGTTTCTGTTCATCATTGTCCCTTGAAGCACTTGTTGTCTGCAAATTTAAGTGTAGTGTTTGTTTTCTTTGTCATGTCTGCTTCTAAACTTGCTTGATCTTTCACAGATCTTTGAGCGTAACCCTACCACAATCAAGAACTATGGCATCTGGCTGCGTTACCAGAGCAGGACTGGTTACCACAACATGTACAAGGAGTATCGTGATACCACCCTGAATGGTGCCGTGGAGCAGATGTACAATGAGATGGCTTCCCGTCACCGCGTGAGGTCACCGTGCATCCAGATCATCAAGATGGCAACAGTTGACTTCAAGCTCTGCAAGAGGGACAACACCAAGCAGTTCCACAATTCAAATATTAAGTTTCCTTTGGTTAACCGCAAAGTCAGGCCTCCAACCAGGAAGCTGAAGACCACCTTCAGGGCTTCAAGGCCCAACTTGTTCATGTGATCCAACTCACCCCACACCATCCGAAATCTGTGAGCCTGGCAGTCTGGAGGGTTGATAGTTCAGGTTAATTGAATCTACATGCAATCTATTGTTTCTAAATTCTAGTTGTAGGTCCATGCAGTGGCCTTTATTAGCTTGATGAATATCCCCATTTCTTTCTGTCCTTTACCATCTGCTGCCTTATAAATTATAATAGCCAGTTCAGATCTCATCTGCTTTAAGCTTTACTCAAATGTCTAAATTTGTGTTCGCTTATGGCTATGTGGTTGCAGTCTCCGTTTGTCAAGTCAGTTGCAACATGATCTGGTCAAAGTTTGTTTACTCTGTACCCCTTGTCATTTGTTAATCTTACCGATTGCTTGTTTAATTGAGTATATTTGCAATGCTCTTAAAGTAGTAAATTTTGCTAGTTTGGTGTTTAAGTTGTGATGTTTTGTGTGTTTTCTCAAAAAAAATGTTTTCATTACTTCGGACGGCAACTTTGCCAAGGTTACCAACTACAAATTTGGTTTCCTTTTTTTCCCTGTTGCCAAAATCATTGTTGCTACTGGATGTTTGAACTTTCCAGTCCATGAGCTATTTTATTTGGTTTCATGGATGAGCATCCTAGCCAACATTGTTTAGTAGAAGAACATTCTACTTCCAAAGTTGTACGAAACTTGTAGTGCTTTGAATTCTCATGTTTTCTTCCATGCTGCAGCATAACCTGTTTCTTTTTGCGTGACGTGTAATCTATTTGTTTTTCATTAGTGTCATGGTCGTGAGTCTTTGCCTTGTATTTTGAATCCAAGTGTGTTAATATTTAGTCCTTTTGAGCATGTAGTGTGAATGTGAATTAACTTGTATTACTAATTTGGTTTCAGATTACGATTGTAAATATTTTGGGCAACTTTGCCAAGGTTACCAATATTTACTTTGGTTTCCTTTTTTTCCCTGTTGCCTATATCATCCATTGCTTGAATGCCGTACTCAACACACCTTCATGGTTTTATTGTAGGCATTCCGGCAAACATCAACCTATTTCCACAGTTTTTTTCTGGGATCTGTAGTAAAGGTTTTCATTTGCTAAGCTAAAGTTCTTTCCCCTGAAAATTCACAAGATCAGGATCAACTCGTTATTCAACTATTTTCAATGATTTTTTTCTTGGATCTGTAGTAGATGTTTTCATTTGCTTAGCTAAAGTTCTTTTCCCTGAAAATTCACAAGATCAGGATCAACTCTTTATTGCCTCTTTCTCATTAACGTTGCTTTTTCCTCCCTGGTCATTGGTACCGATGTGATCCACTGGATTTAGATTCCATGGCTCGGAATAAATGTGATAAAAGTAATTGTCATTGTTGGAATTGAATTTCTTGGCCTCCAGAAGCCATTTGAAACTTGTGTTGTTTGTTATATATGTATGTATTATTTTATCAGCTGTATTCTTGAGACTGAACGATTTGTGAAGCCCAGCTCAAACCCAAAACGTTTCAAAGAGCTACCGAAGTCTTTCGGCCACCGATAAAAAAAAGATAGACCTTTGGCCGATTTTCTCAAGTCTCCTATGTATTTGCGCGATTTGCAGTTACGTGAAGGTGCAGCATTGTTCGCCATATGATTTCCAGGTACTGCTAATTTATCAATAATGTTGGGGTCAGCGGATCCAGGAACTTGAGTGGGGGTGCTCAACTTCCCCTTCTCCTTCCTTCCTCTCCTCTTTCTCTTCTTCTTTCCCATTTCTCCTCTTCTTTCTCCTTCTTCCTCTTCATCCATGGCCACAAAATTTACAGTGCGTTTGGTTCGAGGACCAAGTTGGATGGGATATGGCGATTCATGGATATTAGGATAAGGATATCCATGATACACGTTTGGTTGGATGGATGAGATGAGTCATTTTTTCTGTTTGCTTGGATGGACGAAAGTAGATGGGATAAGAATAGTTGACTAATTATATCTATTATTTAAAAATAATAACAACTAATTATACACTAATAAATATGCACTAATATTATTTTTGTCATGATAATCACTAATTGAAAATAAAATATGTTAATTAGCACCACTAATATCCTAATTAGCACACGAAACATGCACTAATCAACATAATAGCACTTATCAAAACTAATCCTACCATCATAATTACTAAGTATTAATATAAGATACTAGTAATCCTTAACTTATTTACTAATGACAAATATTAGAAGACATGGATAAGCTGATCCGCCAGATTTTTTTGGACCACGAAATCCAGCATCTGGGTGGAATATTCTCTATCTATGGATTTCCTTATCCCAGTGATTCACCAACCAAACACACCCAATCTATGGATGGTCCCATCCCATCCATGGAGATCCAAGCAACCAAACACACCCTTAGAGGAGCTTCATAGGTGGTCTATCGACAACATGGGGGTAGGGGTGTTGGAGCCCTCCAAACTCCACGCTGGATCTGCCCCTGCTTGCTGGGCCTGTAGACTGGCCCAGGCAACTTGCCTCTTCCTTCTACGGTCTCCCTAACTCATCCTCACCGTGCTTTTCGCCTGTCGCTGCTGGCTTCATCGTGCCATCTGCCTATCGCGGTTGGCTTTACCACGCCACCTACCTTCCCCCCTTCCCCCTCCCCCCTCCCCCCTCCGCCCCCCACACTGTACACCGCACCACCTGCCTTCTCCACTCCCCCCCACTCCACACTCCCCCTCTCCACCGCGGCAACTGCATGCTGCGGCTGCTGTTATTCATTGGAGCTCGAGGATAAAGATTCCTAGATTCCTTGAACCATTGAGTTGTGTTTAGTTAACCTAAATCGTTGGACTTTTTTATTGTTACCGCTTTCCATGCTGATCCTGTGTAGACTTTTTAATTCAAATGTGATTACCATTGAACATATTTTATTATGCTATTTTGCATACTTTCACCATGATGTATTAAGTGCTTAATGCCTTCTTAATATATCTTTTTTCAACAATCAGCTATAGGTTGTGTATCTATGCATGTTTCATTTTAAAATGTGATGTGTTATCGGCGTATCTATGCTATCCACCTATGTGTTGGTACGCGTAACTTGTGTCTAATTTTTTATGTGTTACAGTGTGTACTCCAATTTTCAAATTTGATTTTAATATGCTGTTTGTTACACAGGAATTAATGTTCCCAAAAGCAAAAGCAATGTTGAACCCTTCAAAACAAGATTCTCAGTCCACAGGATCCGTGAACCACTTTCTACCTTCAGTGATGATCATCAATTGTGGATACAAGAGGATGGTCAAGGTAGTTTACTTGCCATGTGTGTGCTTTCCACCCCTATGAAGCTTGTTGCGTGGATCAAGGGACACATTAACCCCTTATTGAGAGAGTTCAGAATAAAAAACAAAGTTGTTGTATTTGATAAGCTGCTTGTTTGCAATTTCTTGGTTTGCCAAGTGGGCTAGATCTTGTTAAAGTCACTTGCACAACTGATGAATATGATGTATTCCAAAAGATTCGTGACCAGTTTATGGATGGATGGAACCAATTGAATTTAGCTCATTGACAATTAAATTCAAACGAGAATACATGTCCTTAACAAGTTCATTTTCATTCATTTTAAAGGAATCATAGGTTGATTTAGCTTGGCAATGTTTTTGCTCACGGACATAACTTGTGCCGTCATGGAGCTCATGTAATTTTAACCAAATTTCATGTGCCATATGTAAAGTGAACACTTGATTAAAAACATCCGAGCTAAAAGATTCATACAAGCAATTTTTAGCTCTAGCATTGAAATGAATCTCTTTTTCATCACTCGCGGTTGGTTTCTCGGGATTCTTAAGGGGTTTCATCCCGTCGCGAGTGACTCTCCAAACACCTAGATCAACTGCTTCTAGGTAGCAAGCCATTCTAGCACTATAATAGGGAAAGTTAGTGCCACCAAAGTGCGGAGGCTAGAGGTATCCATCCTTCCCACTCTAAATAACATCAGCTCAATGGCGGTGAAGCCAAAGGTCCAAAGATGAGCCAACCGCCTCTGATATTAATTGAAAGGACCATGACGCCTAAGAGGGGGGGGGGTAAATTAGGCAACTTAAAACTCTAACTCTAAACTATGGCCTTTTTTTCTACCCTTAGCAAAACCTATGCAAAAGATAATCTATCTAAATGTGCAACTATGGTTTTGCTAGTGTGTTGCCATCTCTACCACAAAAAGAGTTATGCAACCTAGGTTCCAATCCTATCAACTAGCCTATCAACTAAGCTAGGAAAGGTAAAGCTCACACTAAGGTTACAATGTAAATGCGGAAGCTAAAGAGAGAGGTAGAGATGCAAACTCCCATTGACGACTCCAGTATTTTTACCGAGGTATCGAGAAGCGCGCAAGCTTCCCCCTAGTCCTCGTTGGAGCCCCTCGCAAGGGCCAACCTCCCTGTTGGGTAACTCTGTGGATAGCCTCGGGCCTTCCCCATGCGCAAGTGGGTCTTCGACGTTCCGTTCGGCAAGCCTCTCCCGGATGCTCCTCGCTGTCTTCACTATCAAGCTTCTGGCTGAAACGCCGCGGGCCTTGTTCCCTCCATACACGGTGGCGGCCACACCACAAACGTGGTTGGTGTGGTCTCGCTAGACTACAAGCCCCTCCGATGTACAACAATGGTGTGCGCAAGCACCGACTGGTAAGAGATGTGCAAACTTCACTAAACACTTGGCCTAAACCTAGAGCAAGCGCATAAACGGTGGTCTAACTAACCTAAGCACTTCACAAAACACCTATGCTAATTACCGAATGTGTCACTAAGCACTATGCATATGGAGAGCACCAAAGTGGTGTATCAACACCTTGCTATCTTCCCTCAACCCTTTCACACACCAAAGGCCGGTTCGGGGGTCTATTTATAAGCCCCATGGAGAAACTAGCCATTGGAGCCAAGTCCAAGAATCCTGGCTAGCACCGGACGCTGCTTGCTCCGGCACTGGACGCGTCCGGTCTCTCACAATGGTCACCTGGCCTTCGGCGTGTTCAACTGATCGAACGCTGATCGTGCCTGGTCACA